GCACCGGCGGGGCCGTGGCTCCGCGCGTCCGAAGGCACGCTCCGAGTGCTAAGAGGAGAAGAAGAGCTTCAGGAACACGGGACAGAGGGAGCGGGCGCGCACATGGTTTGCAGTAAAAAATACAACAGGGCAAGTGGAAAGTACCTTACAACACAAAACGTACATCGTTCGCTGAGATTCAGGTTTAGGTTTGAAGGAAAAAAACCACACCTAATTTCAAACTCAGTATTTAAAACAGATGTGCTCTCTCCTAGAAAACACTGACAAATGAAATTCACTTTTAGAAAGTGATCATCCAGGGCGAGAAGATGCAGAAATGCCACCACATTCAGTCGGTACTGGAATGTACTAACGATTCTGAGCTCACATAGCAAGTCCACCTGGAGTTATACACACCCTCAAAGTCCAGACTGGAAAGATCATCCACTTGTTCCCACTTCTAAACTGACACTAAGTATTGTTTCTCAAATGTTATCATGTTATGAACACCCAAATGTGCTTCCCTGAGGTCATTTTTCAAAGAGAGAAAAGGGAATAATTATTCCAAAGCGGACAGCATTTAGTAGCTTGAGGTTGTAAATAAGCTCAGGAACTAAGCCATCTTGAAAGGTCCGCGTCGGTTTTGAATTGGCAACCTCTTCTTTTGCAGCTAAGGCTGTGACTATCTTCAAGGTAAGGCGACAGGAGCTTTGAGAAACGTATGCGCAGAGCGAGCAGCCAGCGCTCCCAGGAGTCAGCATGCACGGCAGAAGAGGCCCCAAGCACACGACCAGCATGCACCCAATACCTGAACCCCTCTGGAGTGGGGATGATGAGGTGGGGGTTAGGAGGGTCGCTGTGGCATCGCGGCACCTTCACAGGACGGGGGCTGTTCCGATGAATGGCTGCCGTGAAAATGGCGACAAATGCAACATGTTAAAGGGGTCAACAGAAAACTGCCAACCCAGGCGAGTAAATGAACCAGGATGGGACTTAATTTTGCTGGTGACCAAAATAAACCCTTTCTAAAAGAAAGTCATATTATATACAAATATTGTGGAAAATGTCACTTTTAGTTACATGACACATTCGAACTTTCCTCCATCAAAAACATTTTTTAAATCCCGGGATGAAATACACATAACTTATGCAAAACAAACGATGTAGCCCGTTTTACAGACAGATGACAACGTGCGGCATCCCCGAGTGAAAAGGGCTCGTACGCCATCTGCACTCGGAGAGGACTCTGGTCAGTGGGACACCCCAACAGGTCCCGAGTGGGCGGCCACTGCCATTTTCCTGAGTGCCAGGACTTTTATCTCATTCCTTTAAACCAAACCAAGAGGGTTTTTTTTGGTTTTTTTTCAGAACAGGTTTTCTTTTTCTCCTCTTCTAAACAGTCTGGTAGAAGGTAAACATGGATAAAATTTTACACAAAATTTAATAAAAAAAAATTTTAAGAACTGACCTTCCCTAGTGATTATAAAAATGCTGACAACTGTACTTTCCCAGTAACTAAATGGAACTAGAAATGGACGTGTTATACTTTGTCTATTTCTCCCTAACATGGTCTCCCCTTACTTTTAACTTGGTTTTAACCCTCCTTAGTTTTTTTTAAAGTCATATTTTCTCTTTATATGTTAACAATTTTAGTCTACGTGTTTCACTCTAAATGTTTTATCCGAAATGAAAATACTACCCCTTCATGGGTTTTGTCTGTGTGCTTTTGATAGCATTACACAGGAAAGACAGGAGTACCCAAATGGAGCGATCTGAAGGGGAAACTTGCAAAACAAGAATGAAGCAATTGTTAAGAAGAAATTGGGGAAATTTGCACCCCTGGTTCATAATCTCAACTACTACAACAATAAATGGAATAAATCACCAGTAGCAAAGGTGAAAAGAAAAAAAGCAACAAGTATAATTTGGTGCGGTTGGTGATATCTTTAATTTGCAAACATACTGGTAACTACTGAGTCAAAAATGACTACAAAATTTTCCTATGAAGGTAAGAGGCATTCTGCTGAAACACACTGGGGGTCTACTAACAAGTTTAACATGCTTCACAGATGAAGCAAAACCTTTAAGACTAAGTATACCTAACTGATGCAAATGTGTGATACTTCATTGAAAAGAAAGTCCTAATGGCCAATAAACATAAATAGATGCTCAATTTCACTAGCGGTGAACTATTGAGATGTTTTTCGTGGGGAAAAAACTAACAAAGCAAGTGTCCACTAGGAAATGGTGGAAAGACTCAGTTCGTCCATAATGGACACAATGAGGCCACTGAAAAGAATGAATTGGATCTACACCTGTTGACACAGGAATTTCTACAACTGTCAGGTAAGAAAAGCAAAAGAACACTCAATGTAATCCAAATTTTACACAGTAAATGGCAAGCAAGCCCCCCTATAAATGCCGTGTGATGTTATGAGCAGAAAGGTACGGTAGAACACGCTGTGCAATTAAATATGTGAGTGCACAGAAATGAGGAAGGTTACGTACCAGGTTGCTACCATTAAGCTACATGGGTAGACGGGGGGGGGAGGAGAAAGCAACAACAACAACGAACATGACAGCCCATGTGTTCTCACTTTCATTAATTTCTAAGAATAAAAGAACCTAAAACCAGTGACTGTGGCCTCGTGTAGAACACTCCCGTTGACAGTGTCTCATCGCACCGAGTCCTCGTCAGCATCCACTTTTAGGCACTAGAAGGGGAGGCTCCGGGGGAATGAGCAGCCCAGGGCACGGGGCTGCGAGGAATCTGGCTCTCAGGCAGGGCCGCCCCCATTCCCCCGTGGCTGCGAGGACAGAGGACACCTGGAACCCACAGGTGCTATGAGCCAACTGTCCCGCCAACAGTTTGGAGAGAGGCCGAGTGAACCATTAGTGACTCACACGTTAGAGGATTTGTAATATCTTTCTACATTAAAAATTTTCCTACATGTACATTTTCTACATTTGTTACATACGTTTTCTACATTGTAATTTTCTACAATGAAAATGACTCCTTATATAATAAAATATTTTAGAGATGTAATTTTTACTGAATTATTGGTCATGTATTCTTAGAGAAATAATTTAGGAGACCATGAAATCATTTATGATAATATGCTTAACCAAAGTTTTACAAGAATATAGTATGTTTTATATAAAATATTCAAATAGTAAATGATAACTATTTCGTAGCAGCCTTGGGAGAAAGAGAGGTATAAATAAACTCAGTAAATTTTAAAGATAAAGAAACCAAACATTAAAACTGGGGGTGGGGTCTACTAACCTTTCTATAGCTAGCAAATACCCTTTGAAATATAGCTGCTGCTCAATAAAGTTACCATTTATGAGTTACTTTATTTTGTGTAACAAATTGTTTAAAATTTCTAAGTTTTCCTATTTGGGTATTTATTACATATAAATAGTTTTGCTCTTATTTACTATCTTAAGACTGGGGTTAGACACAAACTTTTCTGAGACTTATTTTAAAACTTCAACATACACTGTAAAGCTGTATATTAACTGTAATTAAAGTATATTATAGCATAACTTGATTTTTTTTTTTTTAGTAAAACCAATAGGAACGGACTAGATTAGCAGGAAAAGGGTACGTGGGAAGTGGTGGAGAAGAAAACCTTTAACAGTGAAGGCGGGCAGGCCCCTGACACTCGCCCACCTCCACAGGAAAGGCTCTTCGCCTCCAAAGACCCTCCCTCCGAGTCTCTCCTCCCAGAGAAAAGACTTCCGGGGAGAGCAGATGGGGGTGCTGGTGAGCAAAAGCAGTGCTGCAGGCAAGCCCTGACGCCTGTGCTGGCACGCTCCTCTTCCTGCCGGATGGAGTTCTCTATGCGCACACGTCACTCCTCTGACTTTCGTTGTCCCTTTGCTGAATATTCTTAAAGACGCTCTAGCCATGGCCGGTGTGGCTCAGTGGATAGAGCATCGGCCTGCGGACTGAAGAGTCCCGGGTTCGATTCTGGTCAAGGGCACATGCCTGGGCTGTGGGCTCATCCCCAGTAGGGAGCGTGCAGGAGGCAGCCAATCAATGATTCTCTCTCATCACTGATATTTCTCTCTCTTCCTCTCCCTTCCTCTCTAAAATCAATAAAAAAATATTTTTGAAAAAAAAGACGCTCTAACCACGGGAAGGGAGGGCGATGACGAGGGAGGCGCTCGCTGGAGCCAGTGGGTGGAGCATTAACGCTGCAGCTGTGGTCTTACCAAGGTACAAACCTGTAACAGGACTGTGCGGCTTTCCTATCACGTGGCCAATGCATTCGTTCATCAAGGCTTGTAAACTCTAGCACCCACAGGAAATGGGAAAGGAGAAGAAAGAATGAATACTCTCTCACTTAGATAATTAGCACAAATTAAGCTTTAGGTATATTTAAAAGAACATGCTATCCTTAGTAAATGTTCTCAACGTTAGTTTAAAATAAAATGGGTATGAACAAGAATTAACGACATACTGTACATAATTTAAAATGTCATACAATTCCCTTTTCATTAGTAAAGCAGATGTGCACTCAGCGCCCCTAATAATGACGTGCACAAGTGAGGACCTGCAATCATCTCCACTATTTGGAGTTAAATAAATTTATATTTTGAACATCTTTTTAATCTGATGGAATTTATTGAAATAACAGTGATAATATTTAACATTTGATATCATGCTCTCAAATGACACACAGTGAAATGAAATAGCTAATCCTTGTTCTTCATTAAACTGCTAAAAAGCAGCAACTAGGTCAGCAGTCAGTAAATACGAACCTGACAAATGCTTAGAAGTGCCAGCTGCAAACCCGCTGGCGTGGCTGCTGAGCCACACTGGGGTCCTGCTGCTGAGCAGCGACTAACGACTCAGCGCTCTAACGACTCCGTTCTCAGCTTTGTCATTACAATTATGTTAAACATATTTTAAAATCACTATTAAATATGAAAAAACACACAATCAAGAATAGACAGTAATCAACTTGTTTGTTTTTTAACAGAAAAAACTTTAGAATAGTCCATACCAAGAAGTCATCTTCTGGTAAAGCTGAAATGAAGGCAGGTTCAATGGCTTGCAGAAAGTCAAAACCTTGAGTTGCCCACCTGCAATGAAAAGTGTCAATAATCACAAAAGAACCAAGAAAATGCTATAGCAGTTTTAGTCTATACAACACTGAAAAGTGATGTAACTGGAAAATTACTATCTAGGACAAAACACATTTTCTGTCTTTATATAAATGCCAGGGACTGAGTATGTTTACAGCATGTTTTGGGAAAGAAAGACAATATGGCTTCTTAGCAAAGTAACTGGTTACCAATTTGTTTTCCATTTTTTCTAATAACCGGCTTAACTTTCATGAGGGAGGAGAGATTAGCAATCAGGAAGGCCTGTCGAGGGAGAATGTGGACTCCCTTAAAGAAAACTCATTTGGGAACAATAAAAAACAGACAAAAATATAGACACACACACAACTGATCACTGCAGAGTTCAAAATGCTCCCTTTTGTGTTCTCTTCTCAGAGTCCCATATGAAGTACAAGGAGGAAGTACCACCAATCCCACACAACTCATGATGGACACATCCCACCTGGTCCTTACCTGGGTCTGGTGCCTCTCCCACTCTCACACTTAGTCAGGACATAATTCATCCATTTCCGGGCAAAGCTTATATATTTGTCTCCAATCTTCTGTCTAAACTCTCCAGACATCAGACGAACAACTTCTTTATGATACTGTAAGATTTCATTTACATCAAAGTTAAGAAGAAAATGATTATACAAATACCTAAACACTATAATACCATATCTGTTTAAAATGACTTTTTTCTAAAAACAAAAATCCAGCCTTAGCTGGTTTGGCTTAATGGATAGAGCACTGCCCTGCAGACTGAAGGGTCCTGGGTTCGATTCCAGGCAAAGGCACATGCCTGGGTTGTGGGCTCAATCCCCAGAAGGCGATGTGCAGGAGGCAGCCGATCAATGATTCTCTCTCATCATGGATGTTTCTCTTTCTCTCTCTCTCTCTCCCTTCCTCTCTGAAATCAAAATATTTTAAAAATCTATAATAATAAAAGCATAATATGCTAATTAGACCAGACGTCCTTCCGGACAAAGCCAAGGCTGCGAGGGAAGCCTGGATCCTGGGTGCCTGCCGGAGGCCAGAGGAAAGCCTGGGTCCCGGGTGCCAGAGGGAAGCTGGTGCCAGCAGCCGGGGGAAGGAAGGCCTACTCTTGCACGAATTTTGTGCATCGGGCCTCTAGTAAATAAGTTAAAAAAAAAATCCAATGAAAATTTACAGCATGGAGAGTTAGAAAATAACGCCTTAATGCAGTTTCACAAATGTTTTACTCATAGTTTAAATTAAGAATGTGCTCTTATGATATTAAACAACTCTTAAAAGAAGGTTTTTAAGTGTAAGTAGATAGCTGTTCACATAAAATAAAAACTGGGCAACTATCTGACAGTTTAAAAGTAAACCAATATTCCCAATATTTAGCAATGGCGTAAGAAGACATTCTTGATTAAGTTGTGATTACAATCAATAATCAGATTTGCATACAAGACTCATGACACTTCCTATAAGTTACAAAGCAATTGCCGAGTTGCACTGTTTTTTTTCTTACTCTGTACCTACCTCGAACCCAAAATTGTAGCCCTGAATCATGGCCTCTCGGTGGTACTGCTGCAGCGTGACAGATTCCGATTCGTCGACTTCAGCATCAAATTCTGAAGTGAACATGTGGTCCACTCGGTCAATGGCATCACTTATTCTGTTGCAAAGTTCTAATGCATCATTCTAAAGAGTCCCAAACCATAATTAATCCAAAAAGAAGCAAATCACACAATACTTATGTATTTTAGTGGAAGATTTCTTTCATCATCACAGACATAAACCAGTGCAATATTTCTCAGCCACATTTTTTTGGTTAGTCAAAAGGACTGACCAAAAATAGAGGAAATTACATGACTTTCATTTTTATGTGTATTAAATGTTCTTCAATAGCTTATGAAATATGAGAGGGACATACCCATTTAAAATGGTAATGTCTAATGACAATGTGGCCTTGGAACAGATGCTATGGCATCAATATTTCTACATGTCAACCGCCAGTTGTTTTCCCCTGGGTGGTTGCTCAAATTCCAGAGTGAACCCCCAGTGTATTTCTATACGACCTCCACAATGTTACCAAGTCATACCATCCGTCTCACCCCCCTGCACTCTAGTTCAGGGTTCTCAACTAGATTTTATCCCTCCCCCCACGAAACACTGGCAATGGCTAGGGATATTTTTGGTTGTCACAACTGGAGGGGGAGTTAAATCTACTGGCATCTATTGGGTAGAGGTCAGGAATACTGCTAAACATCCCACAGAGCACAGGAGAGCTCCCCAAACAATTACAGACCCAGGACATCAACAGTTCAAGCCTTGTTGTCTCGTTAAGCAACACGACCATAGTGCTCCAAATTGGGCTCCCTTCCCACTCACCTTGAAACACACCCCTATGTACACATGGTCTCCAGACCATCCCCTTCCCCAAACTCTGCCTCCTAAATCCTAACAACTCCCCGAGGCTTAGAAAATAAAACGAGGCGCTCTCCCCAGCCTGACCTGCCCAGCCTCAGCGCCACTGCCTCCCGCTGCACGCACCAGGAGCCAGCCGAGCAGACACACCCGACTGACATCCAGTGAGCACCCCGCAGCCACCCCACAGACCGGTGCCCGCGCACTCCTGGGAGCCCTCTCAATGTGCAGTTTCTGAAAGCCCCCAAGCCGGAAGGCCTCCGTGCCGGCTCTTCCCGGATGCTACGAGCCTGAGTCTCCCTCCTCTGTGGTCAGTGTGGCAGCTCCAGTCCTTAGGCTACGAATCCCTTCAGCTCAAGAATAATTAGTGTCTTATGTAGTTTTACACTCTCACTGACTCAAACCACAAGAAAAGACAAAGCCCTGCCCTGGCATTAGAGTGGGGTGACCGTCTGAAGGGGGTGTTCACAGAGGGATGAGGAAGATGAGGCAGGCGGGGCGGGCTGGAGAGAAACACATGCTTATCGAACTCCTTGTCATCTCAGTGCCGCTTCTACCAGAAGCCAAGCCTCAGCCTACGGAGAGGACATAGCTGGTGGCCTGGGGAGAAGGGTGGACAAGACCAGGGTGATAAATGGAGTACGACAGGGAAAGTGGTGAAAACAGGAAATAAGAGCAGGTACGGCTCTGGCTGGTGGTGAACTCTGAGGCCTGTGTGCCCGTCCACACTGGCTCTGTCTAGTCATCTTGGCTGACCTATCTGTTAAGTGAGGTCAGCAAGTCTCTTAGACTATACATTACTGACCTGGAGTACCTCCAGTAAATGCCGCCAAGGAACAAAAACGCTGGGCTAGGAATGAAGAGACCTAAATTCCAGTATCACCTTTGCTACTAATCAACCACGTGACCAGTATGAGTCATGTGACTGTTCATATTTCCATCCCTTCTGCAGTTCCAGGAAAGATCCAGAAGCCCTTTGGCTTAGCCATGAGGAAGTGTGGACTGCGCAGAGGGGAAATGGAAGGACAGCTGGATAATATTCCATTACACCCCCTTGTGCTGCAGAGCGACACCCAAATATACATAAACCGGCTAGGGCCGCGCCGACGGGCATACCTTGAGCTGCTGCAGAGCCTTGGCGATGATGGGCTGGCTGGACGTCTGCTCCTGGCGCAGGGTCAGGAGCCCCTCGATGGACTGCTGGAAGGCTTTCCTCTGGATGAGGAGGTGTGCAGACTGCATGACAACCAGCAGAAGGTTATCCACCTGCGAGGAAAGGAAGCACAGGCTGACAGCAGCCCCGTTCCTGCCGCCCTGTTCCAGTCAACCCCGTCGGGAATTGGTGCCACCTCAGGGCTCCCGGGCCAGCAGCCACCTGCTGAGGAAGCTGCTGTCCAGCAAGACTGCTCCCAAGAGCAAGGGCTGCAGTGGGCACCGATGGCCAGGACCTTCAGCACAGTGTGAAGAATCCCAGGGGACGGTGTCACATGATGTCCCGGAAATGTCCTAGAACTCCAGGGAACTCCACACTCTTGGTGCTGTGTGCGTGTGCATGTGTGCGGGTGCATGTGCGTGTGCATGTGTGCGTGTGCATGTGCGTGTGCATGTGTGCGTGTGCATGTGTGCGTGTGCATGTGTGCGTGTGCATGTGTGTGTGTGCATGTGTGCGTGTGCATGTGCGTGTGCATGTGTGCGTGTGCATGTGCGTGTGCATGTGTGCGTGTGCATGTGTGTGTGTGCATGTGTGCGTGTGCATGTGTGTGTGTGCATGTGTGCGTGTGCATGTGCGTGTGTGTAGGAGCAGCACTGTAGGTGGAAAACACAAGAATAAAAGTGGGATGAGCTCAGGGCCTTGTATGAAATAGTGAAAACCAGACTTTATTATCTTTATTTTTTAAGTAGTTCGAGTAGATCTGTGATGTGATCTGATGTATGTATTAGAATGATCATTCTGGAAGTACCAAAGCAAACAATGCAGCAGTGTAGGGAGAGGTGAGGGCTGAAGCAGAGGAGCTCCAGGAAAGAGAGGAGGCCTGACCGTGGGAATGGGGCGTGTGGAGGAACGTCACTGACTGGGAGTGCTCCGGGCTCACTAGGGCTGTGGACTGATGGTAACTGTCCCGCTCTGGTTCGAACAACTGAGTGGACGGAGCACCGTTCCCGGAGATGGAGCGCAGAGGAAGAACCCATCTGCAGTCACGGGACAGGAGGCTGGGACTCAGCTCTGCTCAGGCTGGGCTCCAGGTGCACACGACACTCACTACCACTGCCCCTCACTGAATACGGAGAACACGAGGGAGCGTCTTATGGTTTTAGTGAACACGTTACATAGACGACGGGGTCCCTGCTAGGTAGGCCGGCGATAGCCTGCACTACAAAAACAAAAACCAAGCAGCCAGCAAACCAGAGGTCCCGGAGAACTTGGACTTCTGGAGCTACAAATACCTTGTAAGGCAATTCCTTGTAGATCATGGCTATACAGAGCTAATGACCTGGCTGAAACAGAAAAGATATAAATATTTCAAGTATCCCAGTGTAACTTAACATACCTATAGATTTTGATGGAATAGTTTAGTACGAGCAATGCTACAAAATTACCTAATGATTCATTTTTCCTAAAAGTATCTTCAGTAAGAAATACTGCTTCCAGTCAGGGGAAGGCGGCGGGCGGTGTGAGGCCTGGGAGGGGACATACCTGCATGCTTCTCAGGGTCTCCACGGTCTCCACCTGAGGCACGATTTTCACAGGCTGCGCCTCCCACGTGGCCCAGCTGTCGCCCGCGAGGTCGCTGTGCTTGGTGAGGAGGAGATGGGTGTCGAGCAGCAGCACGTAGTCCGTGTCCTTGGAGCAGTCCTTTCCTCCCGCGGCGGCGTTGAGTAAGGCCAGGATAAAACTCTTCTCCTCGGCGACAGTGTCTGGGACAAACACCTGCAAGTTCTCTAAGCCAGGAATCTGCACCTGGAACAGAGACCACCCACCGCCGGATCACCTTGACTGTGGTGATGGCAGCACAGCGTCTCTGTGTCCAAACTCACCACAGTGTATACACTAGGTAGGTGCAGTTTTTCTATACCAATTATACCTCAACAAAACTCTAAACCTTGAATTAAGAAATGCCATAAATTAAAGAAATGTTACTTAAAAAAACAAACTAGAAAAAGACAAGCAGGTTTGAGGAAGGCAATGTGGGAAAGGCACGAGCCAGGGCCATGAGGGGACAAGCGGCTCAGGTCAGTGACGGGGCCGTGACTAACTGGCGGGGAACCTCACGCTGTGCGCACTGACAGGGCAGCCTCTACCTTCTTCGTTTCAACAGCAAAGGAAAGACTCCTCAGGAGGAAGGTCGGCCTGAGACAGCCTCAACCAGTGCTGGTCTGTGACGCCATTATTAGCAAAGCTGCTCCCAGACAGCAAAGCCTGCCGCGGGTGGGCGGGCGGCCGGGTGGCCGGCGAAGAAGCCTGAGTCTGTGCGGATGACGTCTGAAACAGGACGTCACCTGACTCAGTGAAAAGGCAAAAGTGTCAGTGCAGGTTCACAAGCTACTCCTGGGGAGGGGACCCTAACAAGCCTTTTAAAGATCATTTTAACAAGAAACACACATGTGACTTCCGTACAAGTCACATACATGTGGGGGGAATAAAATTTCTAGTAACAATATCATACACAGATTCTAAATGTCAGAGCTCAAAGAACCTAAAGGGGAGAAAAGATGGAAACTCAAAAAGAGGCTCTAGTAATGTCCAGGATGTCGAAGATTTATGTAGAAAGTCTGAATTGTGAGGGTAAAAAACAACTAATTTAAATTCAACATATTATAGTATATTCATTATTTTAAACACATATGTGTAATTTAATAAAATAAATATATTGAATATTTAATTATTTTATCTGTAAGACAAGTCATTAAGTCAAGTATGAAAAACTTGATTTGGGGGAGATTATGGAATAGTCCTATAACTGGGGTCAACATGCGGCCGGCAAAGCCTAAAAGTTTTACTCTCTGGACCTTTAAGAAAAGCTTTCCTGTTGTGGAGTAAAGAAAGAAAGACAAATATTTCAATTACACCATGAGAATACTTACTTTAACATAATACCATAAGAATACTTACTTTGACATGTAACACGCGACTACTTACTTTGACATGTAACATACAACTACTTACTTTGACAAGTAACACGTGACTACTTACTTTGACATGTAACACACAACTTACTTTGACGACATGTAACACACGACTACTTACTTTGGCATGTAACGTGCACTACTTACTTTGACATGTAACACGTGACTACTTACTTTGGCATGTAACGTGCGCTACTTACTTTGACATGTAACACACGACTACTTACTTTGGCATGTAACGTGTGCTACTTACTTTGACGTACTGCTTTGATTTCAGGACCTCCAGAAGGTCCCTAATGGGGGCTGAAAGGGTGAACTCGGCAGCTATTTCCAGGTCCTAGGGTCACAGACACAACGACACTTCTTTAGAGCTGGCTTTTTTAAAAGTAAAAAAAAAAAAGAAAGTAATAGTAACCAGCCGGAACCGCGAACTCACCTTTCTCAGCATTTTAGCAAAGCCGAGTGCCTTGGAGGCTCGCTCCCGAGCCTCGTGGAAGAGCTCCTTCAGGGCCCGGCTGATCTCCACCACAGACCGCCTGCGGGGAAGGAGAGAGTGAGGGGACAGGAGCTACAGCCGGGGAAATGCAGAGAGAAGATGAAGCAAGTTCCAGACCACAGTCACACAACTGGAGGCGTTATATATGGAAACGTATTCCAGATGTTCAGGAGCTTTCTCCCCCGTTTTCCAGAAAGCACTGTGTTCTTTAAGTAAGTAGGGTACACTCCATCACCTTCAAATAACAGTAAGCTCAACTTTCTAAAGATTTCATTACAATAATTTCCTGGAGTTTGAGACAAGCTCTTAACTCCCAGCTCATCATCTAACTAAAAAGGCATATATATATATCCAGCCCTGGCGGGTGGGTCAGCTGCTTGGAGCATTGTCCTGTACACTGAAAGGTCCAGGGTTCGATCCCTGGTTGGGGTGCATACAGGAAGCAATGGGTTGATGTTTCTCTCTCACATCGATGTCCTCCCCCCTGTTTTTCTCTCTCTAAAATCAATAAAACAACCCTATAGCCTTGGGTAAGGATTTTTAAAAAGCACACAAAAAAGGCACATATCCAGAGGTAAGCCAGTAAATGGTTAACGACGGGCTTCACCCAAAACACTGTCTTATGTGGTGTTTGTCAATGTTCCTGTGTACGGACCAAGACCCCCACCACAGCCGAGTTCAGGCTGCCAGCCCCAGGGTGCTGAGCGGTGACTGGGAAGAGAATGCACCGTCTATCGCCATCGGCTCTCTGACCCAGGACAAGCCAGCCCCAGCGCCCACTGCACCTGAACCACGTTCAGATGCACCCCTAAAAAACCACCAGAGGGTCATTCTCTGCACTAGCTCACACCTTAGTGCTTGAGTTCCCATTTTTGTTTTGATCCTCCCTATTAGCTCTCAAAACTGCAAGCCCTAGAAATGGATTCTCCCACCTCTCAGCCACTCAATATTCCTCCGGGTGAGAATCCCTGTGGTCACTACTTTGTGTATCTGTGGCATAAGGACAGCCCAGGGTTCTGAAATCCAAACTGCGTTTCGCACAAACACCGGATGGTGAGTGGTGAGCGCACAGTTCAGCTCTACAGAAGCCACTCCGCCCAGCACTGCCGGAGGTGTGTCCTAGCGCACCGCTGACTGATCGCTGGCTGCACAATGGCTACATGACTGATGTACAGGCCATCAAACGGCGATTTTACATGATTCAGCCTAAATACCACCTGCACGGAACTGAAGAAATGCAATAGGTGAGTGAGCCACGATTCACCCACTTCAGCTTCAAGTTCCACAGAAGAGATACGCTGAGCATGAAAACAATACCAACGCAGCAAGTGTCGATGAAAGGCGCTAAAGGACGGCCACAGGGGCACCCTCCCTGAGCTGAGGACATTCCAGAACACGGGGGGGTTCTGCTCTACTCATTTTCGCCCACTGACACTACCTATTCCTTTCCCCAAGGACACCATTTTACCAGGCTACATGAACTCACTTCTAAAGGAAATGGCACAGACTCATCCCTAGAGACCATATGAAAGACAGCATAGAAGTCAATCCCGCTAGGTCTACTACTAAGTTCAGAAAGTGCAAAACAATTTGGACTGATTTCATCACCTGATTTCATCCGAAGCACTGCTGTCATCGGCACTGGTCCAGAACTCAGCACAGCTCTCCTGCAGGCCGACCTCCAGGAAGCTGCCCGTGGACTTCAGCAGCATCCCTGCAATGTCGCTGAGGACGAAGAGCAACAAGAGTCAGCCCGGGAAGACCGTGCTCATTGCACCAAAGCTCCTAGACGAGGGACTGAGAGGTCATGTTCCAGCTCGTGTTTCAACCATTTAGAAAAATGACCGGGAGTTTTCCAATAGAAACTCATGATTAATGTGAAAACGTGTAAACACTGATTATGGCATGTATCTACCTTTGTTCTATTACCATGGTTTTCGTTATAAACCTTAAAATTTTAAGTTACTTTCATAGTAGCTATGTAATTATTCACAAATGTTATTTTTCTCTTAAACAAATGTCCAAAATGATAAAATTATTTATCATTAGAGCTGAGGTGGGACGTGGAGCCTGCGGGGCCTGAGCGAGGCAGGGAGGGAGCCACTGCGCTGCACAGCAGGCCCATCAGGAGGAGGAGGCTTAACGAAAAGAGACTGGCAGGCCTCACTGACCACCGCAAGCACCTGCTCTCCCTTTACTGAGTAAGAGGGGAGCCACCGGAGGAAACGGCCGGACGCCCACTGACAAGGCACTCTGTGGTGTTGAGGGAACTACAAGGGGTGAAGGGGGGCAGCAGAGACTAGAGAGCTCCGAGCTGCGGCAACAACGCAACAGGAAACATCGGGCCTGAGCTGAGCGGAACCGGGGAGCCGTGAGCAGGGTAGGGTCTGGGCCTCTCCTGCGGGACGGCCACATGGGTGAGGGGCATGTGAGAGATGAGAGAAGTCAGGGCTGGGAGACCCAGCACATGAAGCAGAGGCCGTGCTAACACAAGGGATGCATCAGAACCAGGATCACGACAGTCCGAGGGGCGGGCCCATGGGCAATGCAGGCCCCGGAGCTTCTCGGGAGGCACACCGTGAGCGCAGGGCCAGAGGCTGCGCTGCAGTTTCAAGGTCAAGTGAAAGATAAAGACAAAAGCACTGCAGGGGAACGAGGGCGCACACAGGGAAGTCAGCATGGGCTGGCTGTGACACGCAACAGTAACCCTTTCAGAAAATTTCTTCAGCTGAGCTTGACAGCCTGGAAACATAACGCAAACAGAAGCAATGAATGACAGGAGAGCGGGAGGATGGTGAGACGGTGACCATGGCAGGGAGCGTGTCCTTAGGCTGCCGAGGGGAGCCCATCTGCACAGGACAGCACCCGACAGAGGGGGCCCACAGCTGAGGGACTGGAGAACTGAGACGGAGCGCGCTCACTGCTCACACACAACACAGAGAGGACTTGATACAAACTGGAGGTTAGGGGAGAGGCGTGCGTGCCAGATTCTGAGATACCGAGCACAGATGGAGGCGGTGGAGCTGCGAACGATGACCTTCGAGGTCAGAAGACCGCTCCGTGGGAGCTGAGGTCCTGAGGACTGTCCAGGGAGGGGAGGCCCAGGGGAGGGAAGGCCCAGGGAAGGGAAGGCCCAGGGAGGGAAGGCCCAGGGGAGGGAAGGCCCAGGGGAGGGAAGGCCCAGGGGAGGGAAGGCCCAGGGGAGGGAAGGCCCAGGGGAGGGAAGGCCCAGGGGAGGGAAGGCCCAGGGGAGGGAAGGCCCAGGGGAGGGAAGGCCCAGGGGAGGGAAGGCCCAGGGGAGGGAAGGCCCAGGGGAGGGAAGGCCCAGGGGAGGGAAGGCCCAGGGGAGGGAAGGCCCAGGGGAGGGAAGGCCCAGGGGAGGGAAGGCCCAGGGAGGGAAGGCCCAGGGAGGGAAGGCCCGGGGAGGGAAGGCCCGGGGAGGGAAGGCCCGGGGAGGGAAGGCCCGGGGAGGGAAGGCCGAGGAGCTGGTGCAAAGGCCCCCAGGAAGGAGACAGCAGTGACATGGCTGCTGAGCAGCTGAGTGAGGCAGCCCCCGACAGCAGCAGCCTGGAGCCCAGGGGGGGCTGAACCTCAGTGGTGAGCACAGGCCACTGATGCGCCGAATCCGCATCAGGTACCTGCACTCAAGACACATTCACTTTCTACAACAACAGACCAGGGACCACTCCCCCGATGGCTTACTGTCTACATTTCTAACCCTCCACCGCATGCCCCTTTCGCAGGGATTCCGCCATCAGCGGGACAGTCCCAAAGCAGTGCTGGGGGTGCGTCCTTCCTCGGCCAAGCATCCCGAGGACTGCCGCACAGGCGCACAGGCCCCCTCAGAGGCTGAGATTCTGCTCCTGGTCACGTGAACCCAAGGCAGGACTTCTCCACCGCAAGACTGACACTTGGGGAGAATAACTTTGGTTCTGGGGGCCGTCCTGTCACTGCAGGATGTCTGGCAGCGTCCCGGGCCTCTGCTCACTAGATGTCAGTGGAGCCTCCCAGTCCTACAATCAAAGCTGCTTCCAGACATTGCCAACTGTCCCCGAGGGGTGGGGGTGGGGACGGGCAAGCACCTTGGTGAGAACCACTGCTTTAGGGCTAATGAGCTTGGGAGAGGGGCACACAGATAGGAACTCAACGCTCAAGGGCACAGAAGGGAACTGGGCAGCAGACTGGGAGTGGGAGTGAGGAAGGCAGACAGGTGCCCTCGGGAGCACCAGGGTTCCTACCAGAAAAGTTTCCCAGCCTGGGCCTCTCCTCCCCGGATGTAATGGGTTATTTCTTTGGTGAAATTCCATTCTTCTTCTAACAGATTTTTTAAACTGTGGGATGCTTGAGGTAACTGCTGTAGCATTTGGATCCAGCTTCTCATGTAATCAAAATATACCTTAAAATACAAAAATGTAAAGGGTGGTATTTGAGAACAGACTTTGGCAACTCACGACGTTCAACTGTCAACATGAAAGCTACGCATCAGAGAGCCATGGGAGAGGGCCGCTGGGCATGGCATGTGCTGCCAAGTGAGGACTTCTCTTAAATTGTGTAGCTCAGCCCTCACAGTGTAACACTGTATCCACAATCCCTTCAAATTACGGAGAAATGACTAAAATATTCACAATGCAGAAAAAAGTACAATCAAGTTTTAAAAATTAAAAAGAATAGCAACCAGCAATGTTATGATTAATATCCTGCGGACACGCCTCCTGCAGGAGGAGGGATCTTCACTTGTTTAGCTTCAGACAGCAGCTCACGTGTTGACAGGAAATGAGCACACTTCTCACCATCCCTTCCCAATATCCAGATTTTTGTGCTATAATTTTTCAAGGCTTATGACATATAAATTATGATCTATAACTAAAATACCCAATTTGTCTGAAGTGGGGTTTATGGTCACATAAGTCTATTAAGCTTTTCTATCCCTAAATTCTTATTTTGACTTACCTGTTGCTTAGTAGGGTTTTACTATCAAGGAGTTTTTCTCAAGACGGGTTCACAATTGTCTATTACAAAAAAATCACCGCCTACCAATCCTCTTATGAAAGGGTAAGTTGACTGCGTAGAAAATATCTGGGTCACACGCTCTCTCCCTGAGAACTGTTTGACACCACTGCACTGCCCCTGCGCTGTTGCCAGGATGAAGAAATCTGATGCCAGCCCAACCTGGCTGTCCCCACCTCCCGCCCTGATGACTACTGTCTTTGCTGGGTGTTTACAGGATGCCTCCTCTAGTCTTGGATTCCTGTATTTTCATCAGGTTATGGCTTCGGCTCACTGGAGCGAATGTTTTCTGAGACCATCACAACTGTCAGTAGGCAAGTTTCAGGTCTTTTCTTCATCTCGAGAGCTGTGTCTTCTGTTGAATCTTGGGTGCTCTGGGCCCTCCTCCATCCACGCTGTGCGCCATCAGTCTCCAGTCCTGAGCCCAGCTGTGTGTGTGGAACCTGCAAGCATGGGTCTACCACCATCCTCTCCAAATGAGCACGGAGAGCGAGCAGCTCCCAGGGGCTCCCTCTCTGCTCCTTTGCTTGCCCTTGAGATTTCTAGAACAGTGATTGTCAACCGTGTGCCACAAGAATTTTTAAACATGCAATACCTGATTATTGAGACAGGGGCACTAACCTATTCTCCCTTAAGACTGTCAAAAAAAATAAATAAATAACAACAGCCAACACAACAATAGCCATCCAGTGTGAATGAACCAAAATTACACCTATTATATTTTGTTAGATCAGCAAAAAATATAACACAGCCTTTGGTGTGCCGTGGAATTTTAGTAATTAGTTCTGTGCCATGAGATGGAAAAGGCTGAATGTCGCTACTCTGGGAACACTAACTGTGAGTGTCTGGCCCTCCCTTGTGTGTCTTCTAACAATATCACACCTTGTTATCAAATATCAATCTTTTCCTTTTTCTTTTTTAAATATACTTTTATTGATTTCAGAGAGGAAGGGAGAGGGACAGGGAGACAGAAACATCAATGATGAGAGGGAATCACTGATTGGCTGTCTCCTCCATGCCCCCCACTGGTGATCGAGCCCGCAACCTGGGCATGTGCCCTGACTGGGATTCGAACTGTGACCTCCTGGTTCATAGGTGAACACAAAACCACTGAGCCAAACCAGCCGGGCAAATATCACACCTTTTAAACTCTTTACATGGTTCCTTACATCTGTCATATGTTCCTACATCACACCTTCTGTGTGTTGTCGTGGTTACCTCTGAGGCCAGGGCATGAGTTAGCATGTTGACAGCTTCCACATGGACTTGCTGCCTCAAACACCAAGTTACTTCCTTGGCCCTGCACGCACACATCCCTCGGTTTCCAAGTCAGAGATGACAGCACAGAGCAGACCTCGAAGTCACACTTGGTCCACATCACCTCTTGCCAATCACTGCTGCCCTCACCCTCCCACCCAGCTCTCAGGCAGCAGTTGTCCTGCTCAGAGGGGGAGCTGCAGACAACAGAAGTGTCCCTCTCCTTCTCCTTCTGTCGTGCTGAATGCCATCTACAATAGGACCTCACGGGGACACCCCTGCTTCTCTCCTGACTGTCCACACCCCTACATTCACAACGCTAGTTAATCAATGGACGGGCCCTCCATATCTGGTCATCCTCATTTTAGTCTAAATGTTAAAGTAAATAATTGTAATAGTCTTTTTTTGGGGGGGGGGGGCGATTGAATATTGTGATCAGTATCCTCCTTTACTGAACATGAAATGTTTCTCTTTACTCTTCCTTCCTTTTGCTGTTTTTGGTGAGTTTCAAGTAAACATAATCTGACAGCCAATCCAAAGGCCACTCTCTCCTTCCTTCCTCATAAAAACACTGATTTGGTTTGGGCTTCCCCAGTTCTGAAAACATGCCCCTGCACTTACGCATCTAGCACTCTTTGGGGCACAATTTTAAAAACATGGTAATTGCTAGCTCTTCATCTGTGAGACGATGGAGAGAAACGAAGGGAAATTGTGCCTTACACAGATCATTAGTAGCAAAGCTCAAACTAAATCCTAGGCAAAGCAAAGCACATTTTCTCTTTTTAAACTTCTGTTTAGTCATCCACAGAGAGAGAAAAATTAGTTTTCTTATGGCTTTATACCATAAATTTTCAATGATAAAGACGTTTCCGACATAAGAAATAGACTAGCACAGTACTTTAAAACATAGCCACATTTTAGACGTACTGGTCTTTTATGTATTCTCCCAAACAACCAGGAAACAATTTCAAAATCAAAATTATTTCCGTAACACGGCGGACGTGGCCAGTCCCCTTCCCAGTCACGTCTTCCCGCACGCCTTCCACTCAAGAGGCTGGCGGCTGAGTGTGCGGAAGCCCAGCCTGCACTGCAGGGAAGAGGCTCTGCACCCAGCCTGGCCAGCCGGACCAGGGGCAGCTGCCGGGCAGGGCTTCCAGGAGCGCCTGCTCTGGACTTGGCTGCGAGCACACTTTCCCGTCTACCCTTCTCTTTTCTCCCAGCCTAGAAAGGGGGTGGTAGCTGGACGTGCTGAGCCACCCTGAGGCAGCAGTGAGGCATCAAGCAAGGATGAAAGCATTGCAAAAACAATATACCTGCCAGCGAGGCTGTTTTCTATATTATTTCATCAACCTGTCATATTATGCAATCAGCTGTGTGTCTCTCTCTATTGAATCTAACATGTATTTACTGCACATTAAGACTCTACCAGACATTACGGAAGACAAAAGAACTTCAAGGCATAGCCCGTGGCTTGTAAAGCTTTCAGTCTAATTAGGGGAACCTGAGAACAGAGACTTGCTATGTCATTATGTATTAAGTAGTACAGTTGTAATTATAACTGCTGAGAGTTCAAAGAAGGTTTAGATAAAGCCCACTAAAGGTTAAAACTGTCAAATAAGCTTTCTAGAAAAAAATAAAACTTGAAAGTAAGTCTCCGGTGGGAAAATAAAGAGAAGGGACGTTTTGAGCAGGAAGAAATAATATGAGCAAAAGTCCAGCGGTTAGAAAGCACAGGTACGTACAATGCATGTGAGGAGACTAAGGGCTCTTTTTGGAAAGAAATACAAGTCAGTCTGCTCACGTTGTGTACAATCCTGTGCATGGGCCAGGTTCCTCACGTAACTCCTGACTCCTCAAGACTCAGCTGCCTCACCGTAAGACGCTCCTGAGGCGCCAGTCCAGTGTAGGTGTCCCATCCCTAACCCTCCTGGCATCTCGGCACAAGGCTACCTCAGCACTTCCCACTCAGGGAGGAATATCAATTTTGCCCAATTCTTCAGACTGAGTTTCGTAGGACTCGTTACTGTATACCCAGAGCCGGGCAAGGTCCCTGGCGCATCCGAGGTACTAGAGATACAGCTGATGACAGATGGCTCAATAAAATACGACCAGGCTATGATTCTATTTCGAGGCCATCTGCTATAGACCCACAATGAAACAGTGAACTAGAATAGGCTATAAAACAATAGGTTAAAAAATAGCCCTCACACACACAGCCAGACAGACCTGGGGGACACGCCCCCACGCCTCACCATCAGCATCTCCTGCAGGTCCTCCTCGAAGGCGTCCATGTTGCAGTCGGCCTTCTCCAGGCCGTGCCGGACGCCGTGCAGCATGAACTGGTAGTACTGCTTCATCAGAAGGCCGCCCTTCAGCACCTCCTTACACTCTCGGACCAGCTGCGGGGACAGTCGCAGCTCCGTCATCTCACACATCTTGACCAGGCTAGGTATCGATTTTCAGTTCCCACTTAAATCCTCAAAGAACTCCAACACCCCCCCCCCCCCAAACGAATCCTTACCTCTGAAAAACCTAAGATATTTTCCAGATTCTTACACAATATCTTAGTCTCAATTGGATGAGAACAAAACAGTAAAAATAAAGTATGGGTGCAGAGCGAAAATGTCACATAAACAAAAACTGATTTGCTAAAATATACCCTCCTACAAAGAAATTTACATAGAAAATAAAACCCATAGAAAGATGTATTTTTCTACTACTTTACATTATAAGACAAGGTATAGAAGAGAAAAATCTCATCCCTTTTAATCATAATAAAGATTCAAATGTACTTACCACAGAGCATGGGGACCTTTGTAATAGTTTAGCATAATTTACCTACAGGGGTTTATGGCGTTCACCATCAAAAAACTATAATAATCCACAAACAAACCCAAGATTAACCTGAGGAAATTAGATGTTTACATGTAGCTTAAAAGGAATGAAAAAAATAAATTTAAAGAACTTAAAATATCTAATTTTAAGTTTCCAGTCTTTAAAGACTGATATTAATAGGATATAGGTCATATCATCATCCTACTTTTATATCCTTTTTGACAAGGAAGTGAATAACAGGAAGGCTGCACCACAATCCTGTATTTGAGGACTGCATGGAAAGAACATTTCAATCACCCTAAAAAGAGCAGCTTTGAAAACACTACTCATTTTTCACTGTTTGCAACAATTATGGAAAAAATCCTCAAAATAAAAATCATAAGCCTGTGGAGGAATATAATGATTGCGAGATGTTTTTAAACAGTCTTTGAAACAAACCTGCTTAATACTCAAGAGAGACGGCTCTCCCGCAGGTCTCTGCTCCAATCTCAGCTTGAGGCATTCGTGGATGACATTCAGGAGGACCCGGCAGAGGACCAGGAAGGCAGGTTCGAAGGAGGGTAAGTCCATGGCCTCGAGCTCGGCCCAGGACACAGCGCTGCACTTCTGCTCGGAAGCAGCGGGCGACCGGGACAGCTGCACATAATCGGAGCCCCACATGGGATCTGGAAACTCAGAAAACTGTAACAACATTCAACAAAGGCGAAAGAGCATGCATGAGGGTGTAGTTATAAACTATTATTCTCTATCATTTGCTGACAAATCTACAAAAATCATCATTTTACAGGAAAAGTTATCTTTAGAATAATTTAACATTTCAATTTTAATGTTTTCTAAAACAAAAAGTTCTAAAAGTATTAGGAAACCGTAACAAGAACTAAAACCAAATTGCAATATTTTTGTTAAGAAAAAAAAAAAAGTAGAAATAGAATCAAGTTCATCTTTTTCATCATGTATTTTTTATTAAAATGGTCAGAACACTTATATTTAAGGTTATATATAATATTACCCACAACTACCTCTACACTGAGAAAAACTAGAAAATATTCGAGAAAAGACTATAAAACCAGATAGCCATTTATCTATAATAATAAAAGTGTAATATGCTAATTAGACCGGACGTCCTTCTGGACGACCTTCCAGACGAAGCTGGGGCTGCAAGGGAAGCCCGGGTCCTGGGTCCCAGGTCCCAGAGGGAAGCCAGTGCCGGCAGCCAGGAGAAGGAAGGCCTATTCTTACACGAATTTCGTGCATTGGGCCTCTAGTGTAAACATAAAAACTAGTGCATTCAACACATTCTTTTGTCCATTTTTCCTCCTGACCTATACTGAATGACACTGATAGAAAAATCAGGAAAAATTCATAAAATTGATCTGGCTAGTCTCACTCAAATATCTGTTATTTGATGTTTCCTGGGACCCCTAATGTTGCTCACCATTGTATTTCCCCCATAAAACATGGGGTTTGGAGCTTCCCCACTGTTTTTAAACCTCTGGCAACATCATGCTGACCAATCATATTCAAAGACCTTGCCTTCTCCTTTTGAGAACACTGAAGCCATCAAAATTTGAAAATCTCAACTTTTCTTCAACTTAAAACATCACCAATCAATAGGTATTCTGCCTCTAAATGTTCCGTGCGGTGCTTTAAATATTTTTTACTTAGGGGCCAGCATTTAAAAGTTAGAAGATTTGACACGAAAATCTGGATCTTTTTGTTCTGGTTGACACACTGGGAGGTCTGTCCACACTGGGCCCACAGTGCCCACATGACAGCACCGGGCCGGCTCAGTTTACACAGTGCCCATCGTTTCTCGCTCTTCACGGCCACCTGCACTCTTTCTCCCGCACGCGCCACATTCCCGGCCAGGCCTGTGGACGTTCCAGTGGGTGCAGTGACCCTACTGCAGGAGGCAGGATGTGTACTGCTAAGCACATGGCCTTGCAGCCAGTCCTGGGCTCGCATCCGGCTCCAGCACTCACTGGGTGCAACCGTGACCCTCCACATGGTACGTATTCAGTGACCACTCGCCACGGGTCTTGAGCTGCTGCTGTGGTCATGGACCAGCTCTCTGCTACAAACCGGAGCACTACTTCCTACTGGCCCACACATAAGTGTGCTTCTTTAAGAAAAACAAAACCTCCAGGCAATGAGCAAGTAGGTGCTTATTAGCTTGACGCCTCAATTAAAAAGCTCATGTAACTTCACGAATGAAATCAGACAGGTGATGCTGGGCACAAATAAAAGTGACCTATAAAAACTGTATGAATGAGCACTGATTGTGAGAGCGGAGGTGGGGAGTACTGTCGCCTCCCTACTGCTCCCAGTGGGCTGACTTGCAGCTGCACTGGTGCTGGTTGGTCTGGCTACGCAGGCAGGTTAAAAATGCCAGTGCTCCTTTGCCCAGCCAGTGTGCTCAGTGGTTGAGCATCAACCTGTGAACCAGGAGGTCAGGGTTCGATTCCCAGTCAGGGCACATGTCCAGGTTGCAAGCTTAATCCCCAATGTGGGGTGTGCAGGAAGCAGCCTATCAATGATTCTCTCTCATCATTGGTGTTTCTATCTCTCTCCCCCTCTCCCTTTCTCTCTGAAATCAATAAAAATATATTGAATAAAAAAAATGGCAGTGCTCCTACCCTACCTGGGAGACTCAGAATTGCCTACAACCAAGAAGACGGCTGTGTGTATCTGTATCTGTCAGAGCTCTCCAGGAGATGCACATGTGCAGTCAGGTTTGGAAACCATGAGCATAGCTTCAAGTCTGGTATCCCCAAATCCTAGGTTTGAATCTCTCTAACAATCTATAGCTTCTGTGATTTGGGCCTAGTCGTCTACTCTCCGTATACGTAAAATATAGAAATAAAAATGCCACTTTATTCAGCTATTGTGTCTAGCACATGGTAAGGCTCACTAAATGGTAGTTTATTATAAATGCATATCCTCATTTCTATAGCCTTTGTCCACTCTGAATATAAAAGGCAACCTCTTCAGGAAAAAATTAGCATAATTATTATTAGATCCTAAATGATATTTCACTGGCCACTAAACTTACAATCTATATACAGTAAGTTCTCAGGTGACGTCAGAGATCCGTTCTTATGGTGCGATGGAATGTGATTTTCGCCATAAGTCGGAACCCACCTACATAAGCACCTACGTCACTCACATGGAGCACAGACACAGCAGTAATGAAGTGAAACAGTAAAAAAAAGTTTAAAAGAGAAGAGAACCAAGATGGCAGCATAGGTCAGCACCTGTACTTGCTGCCTCTCACAACCACATCAACACCACAACTAAACGGCAGAACAACTACCACCCAGAACCGCGGGAAGCCTCGCAGAGTGGAAGTCCCACAACTAGAGGTGAAGAAGGCGCACTGAGACTGGTAGGAGGTGCGGAGGTGCGGGAAGTGCTGGCACCTGGATGTGCTGCTCTTCATTGGGAGGGAGATGCAAGCTCCCGCTTGCTCTGAACTCCAGTTCCGGGCGAGACTCTGGGGGACCCAGGCACATATGGGGAGAAACTGGACTGTCTGGCATCGGGACAGGAACGCGAAGGCGGCTTTCTCTCAGAGGTGCTCGCAGCAATCATTGTTCCTGCACGGGTGCATGGGACGCGGAGAACCAGGGACTTCTCCGGTTCAGGGCTGACTGGCAGCCATAGCTGTTTGCTCCACCCTGGTGATTCCTAGAGTCCCCACCCCACCCAATTTACAATCCCACCCAAGCTGTGTGCATCAGCTTTTGCATTTGAATGGCCTGTCCTTTCACCGAAAACCTGTCAAACTGCAGCTGGGTCAGAGAGACCCAGAGCTTCCAAAAGAAGGCCTAAGGCCCAGCAGCAGCAGCCTGCCTTGCTTCACAGCTGGGCCTCGTCTGGGCACTTCCAAACCCCATACAAAGAGGAGGAATCTGCAGATGTCTCTGTAGCTCCTGCTGGGCAGCCCCAAACAGTGGCTGACCTTGTACCTCCTTGGAGATCCAAGAGCCAGTGTACCCAGTGGTCAGAGTGAGACCATCCAGATTACAACTCCTCAGATCCATAAGAGACACAATCACGGGGCAGACTCAATGAGCACCTAAGCCCCACTGAAGCAAGTCCTGCCCCATAAGGGTGTCTCCTGTGCAACAGTTCTTCCAGTGTAGACACAGCTGGTCATCACAGCCAATTGGCCTGGAGATCAATTCCTCCCAGTGATACCAACAGCAATCAAGGGTTAACTACAACAAGACTGTG